TCTCTCTCTCTCTCTCTCTCTCTCTCTCTCTCTCTCTCTCTCTCTCTCATAAAATAGATTGGCGATTGGGTCTGAATAAAATATATCTAGTCTCAGAAATTCTATTATTCTAGGCCAGGCCTGATTCAGGCCTGTCTGGTGGTTTAGGCTCAAGATTGAAATGAAACAAGACACTCATAAACCCTAGAGCTTCCAAAAAAACTTAGTTGATTTAACAATAGCATGAAAAAGATATTTAGCAAAGTCACGTTATAAATTCAGATGATCTCAGCTCCTCTATCTTTCACATTGGCCACGATAACACTTCCAGTTAGAAGAATGAATTGACTCATATGGCAGTGGGAAGTGAGGAGCCCTGACTACTTGTGAGCTGGACTTTTATGCCTTTCAATGACCAGAAAATTCTGGTTTTGAGATTTAGTGCCCTAGACCAATTAAATCTCATGGACAGTAAATTACCTTTTTAGAGAAGACCCAGTTTGCATGGCAGGAATCTAACTGGGCAATGCACAGTCAATTTCTAGCTACACAAGGGGGCCTACTGCCATGGATCTTAACCAGATCAGTACAATAGATGTGGCCTCTACTGCAACTGTCTTCCCAGAGTTGGGAAGTTTCTCTACTTAACCTATCTCCTATGAGAGGTACACCCAAGTGGAGGCATTCAGGAAGCAGCTTCCCATTTTGGGACATGAAATGAGTAAGAGAGATAAAGAAAAGTAGGATTGAGTTACTTTATCATATTCCCAGCAGATTAGAGATAGTCTGTCTCCTCTTTATTATTACCAAGTCACAATGTGTATTGGCACATTTTAAGGCCAAAGGTCAAATGATCCTCCAAATGATCCTATAGACTCCTAAAACAAACACATAAAATTATTCTTCTTTGTCTTCAAAATGATTTCTTTATCCCTTTAACCCTTTTTTCACAAAAAAAAAATAAATTAAATAACCCAGCACATACAAAGTATTTTTTCTCCTAAAACTTGAAAATGTTTTCCATTCATTTTCTTCTCACCTGTCTAACCTGATGAACTTTCCTTACCAACATCCAGTCAAGCGATAGCCTCTTTTAGTTTCCAAAAGTGATCAACATGATGCAATTATACATGAAAGTCCTAACATTAATCTTATACCCAAAGAGGCTGCTTTGTTTATTGGCAAGACCCAGAGAAATAAATCAGAAAGAAGGGATTTTGTTGTTGTACAGTTGTGTCCAATTCTTCATGACCCCATTTGGGGTTTTCTTGGCAAAGAATCTGGAGTGGTTTGCCATTTCCTTCTCCAGCTCATTTTACAGATGAGGAACTGAGGTAAACAGGGTTAAGTGACTTATCCAGGGTCACACAACTAGTAAGTGTCTGAGACCAGATTTGAATTCAGGAAGAAGAGTCTTTCTGATTCCAAACCCGGTGTTCTATCCACTGTATCACCACAGTCTTTGGGAAATCTAGACCAACATCAGGTTCACCAGAACCAGATCCATTCCATTTCCAGGAAAAAGTTCAAGACTATTAAAATAAAGGCAGAGGGTATTGCTTCTAATGGGAACATCTTGATCATGTTTTAGGATGGATCCAAGCTTTGGTCTGCGGGTGGCACTTCTCAGTTTTTATTCTGCCAGTTCTTGCCCTCCTGATTATTTTTTTCCAGTAAGCTCCTCATTGG